TAACTTGCCTGTTGGAACTTATTGCGTACAACGTACATGTAGAGATAGGTCGACCCGCGTGCGATGCAGGGCGCGACGGAGCGCAAGGCGCTCGGTCGGTTCGTCGCTTCGTCGCGAACTGAGCGCGGCTCTCCGTGTCCGCTGACGGCACGGCCCGCCCCGCGGCGCTCCGTGCTCGTTGTAGACGTCGTGCGCGATAACGTGCCCTGGCGACGCCGCTTCCATGGATGCCTCGGGACGACATAATCTCGCGAAATTCATCATGACTTAAACGGCTTCCGTGAGGACGGCGATCGAATGCTATCTCCTATTGTGAATAATAACTTGTGACAACGTAGTATTAAGAAAGAGTGCTTTAAACGAAAAGAAAATACTATACTATAATAAGTATTTATTATTAACGTTTGCTTTTTATTTACTCGAAACAAAATGTTTCGTTTATTATGGTAGGCAACACAAATTGAGCTGTAATTACGTAGTGGAGTTTTTGTTTTATAATGCCATTTCATGACACGTTTATTGTATTTAAACGGGATAAATATTGGCGTACGTATAGAAGTATGAATTTTAATCGGAAATACGCTTATAACCAACACATTATAGTGAGTAAAATTACCAACGGAACAAACATTGATATTTTGCTTATATGTATACGGTGTAAGGTAAGCGAACAGATGTGGATTGTCCTAAATGGACGGTTCAAAATCACCACCGGTAGTCTTGGCACGTACTCGCAGCATTGCCCATAAACTAATCCGATATCGGACGTCACGCCACTGAACTGTACGATCCATAGATACGAAGGGACTGAGAAAAGAAAAGGAAAATAATAGCTTATAATATTATGATATTATACCGTACGCTTAACCTTAATATTGCCTCCATATTTTCAAATACATAATCGGTATTTATGTGAAACGAATATTTGAATTAATTGTTTTTATCATAATAAATTGTTTTCCTGAGCAATCAAAACATTTGTTCATCATCGTCTATTTCACTCTGATCGATCTTTGGGTTCAAGGAATAGTTTATTCGTGTTGTGTTGCCTTTTATAATAGTCTATAATACATTTTCCTTTTTAATGTCTGGCAACATGAAATACTTTGCAAAGAACTTGGACATACCAACAAGCATTGGTTTAAATCAATCGCTAAGTTTAACTAAATCTATCAATAAATACACTTTAAATATTAAATATTTATTAAAATCGGTTAATTATTAATTAATGCTCTTGTTAGGTAATTAAAATACAGTTCGATGATGATGATAGAAATTTCAAATTTAATTCAGTCTTTTATCTGTGTTGTCTAGAGTTAAATGTAAAGAAAACTTTAGCAGAGTAAATTAATTTTAGCGAGATAATTAAGACTAGGAATTCATTGAAAAGAATGTTCTTTAAAAATTGCTTCGTTGCGGGTTTTGCGAAACGTGACTTTGTTTATTTAGGACTAGCTTTACCCGTGGCTACTTTCGCTTGGATTTTTTTTATAATTACGGCTAACGGTATTCTTAATCCTGAATCAACGAAATTAGTAAACCATACATTAGAAATAATTCAATTATTTTTGCAACAAACATATTTTTAAGCGTTTCATCATTGGCTTTTAGAAAGCTCTACTAAACAAATCTTCATTCGAGTTGGAAAGACTAGCCTTAACTGTAACGTTTGGCAAATGGATTGGCTGCTACAGATATAGAGCTTTCTACTCTCAAACTGCTTCTCATTTATGATCTGATTATTACAAATTATGACGCTGATTTTGGAATTTTTAAAAACACCACGGCATTTTCAAGACATCTCTAAGGACATACATGTAACGAAATGATTTTATATTGGCGGCTAAATGTTGAACTTTGGTATTTTGGTAAAATTATTATAACAACATGTACGCCAATACCTGGCAGAAAGTTCACGCACGGACCGTCAAAAGATAACTACATCGTTTGTTTATAACACAAATAAAGCACGTTGTTGTTGAACGGTAATTATAAAATAGTCTGCTTATCGCAAGGCGGATGCTTTGAGCGAATTAAAATGGCTAATGGTTAATTAAAATTTGTTGGAAATATAATGATAAAATCAGTTTCAACGAAGATTTAAGAGAAGATGCATTATTATTCTTACATTAGTTCTTTGTTTTGACTGCTGTCATTAGATATATATATATATATATATATTATAATTAGCAATTTTAATAAAGCAGGCATGATTTTCTTGTAACAGATTTTTATAGAATAAATGTGCAAACGAGCACGCAGTTCACCTGATAGTATGTGGATGGTACATCTGTGCTCGATTAAGAATCAAAATGTAGATGCGTTGCCTCGTTACCAATCAAAAAGGACAGCGTGGTCCTTGCACGGTCGAACCGACCCATTCCTGCTGCAACCATAGTAGAGCTGCAGCTTGGCTCTACCACGTTGAAGTAGCTACACACACTCATACACCTATACCTTGTACCCAAGCATTAGTGATGTTGCTCCTTACCACCGGTCGGTTTGATTGTTAGATTTGATAGTTATTTTAACGTAACTATTAAAATTCAAACATGTATTCAAAAATATATCATCGACATCGATATTCTTCGTGGTAGCAGCGTAAGAGAATCCATAGGCTTTGTGAAATGCTGTAAAAATCTAATTTCTTTCAAAAGCGGTATAACCATTTCGTTTCGCCAGAAATAAACTATCCAGGCCAGCGATAACGGGCAGCAGCGTAAAAGATGCGAGACGTCTAGTAACTTATGGTAGGTCTAAGCGTGACGATGAAGGCAAATCCTCTTAACAAAGTACTTTTACGGGCTGATGAAGACGTTCAATTACATTACTATACATGATGCATATGATAATATAAAAGTGAGATATGCGGTTACAGAAATATGGGGCAATCACTTCATGTTTGAAAAACAAATTTGTGTGTTTTACAAATTATAATACGATAACTTTATTCCATAAATAAACGTTACCTTTAGGCTGGAATTACAAGCTTACAACTTTCATTTAGCAAGTTAACAACTGACGCTGATAGAATAAACTGCAGATAAAGCATGTGATAGTACTCTTGAATCTATCCAAGTAAATTTAAATATAACCAACAATGTTACTTACAATTTAAAGAAATACCCCTCGGTGACCGTATATTGGCGATTTTACGCCCAGCAATCACCGGGAGTGAGTCGTCCACAGTCCGTCCCTCCCATAACCCGTTCGAACGATTTGAGCGTAGATTTTGCGCTTTACTTTTATTAGTGACGCTATCGGTAAGCAGTCAAGTGAAAATTTATTCATACGAAAAAAATAATACTTAAGCAAAAATACAATTACAATTAGAATACTATCTCTAATTCTAATAGAATACATTTTAGCGTAAGTATTATTCTTTAGCGTTATTGCTATCGAATATTTGCGGTGTTTCCTTTATTTTTTTTTATTAATTTAGTTTATTTCTTTTATTTAAAGTGGACGGTTACATTCAAAATATACTTAATCGAAAATGAGCATGACACTGTCAATTGGCTTCTACTTTATAATAAGTAACCCTTTAGTACTATGCGATAAGTATTAGCATTAAGCATGAAGATCACCAATACTTCCTAACTACCTATATACGGGTAGCAAAGAAGTGATGGGAAACGGGTAGTAAAGAAATGTAACGTCAAAGAAAATCAACTAGACTACACTAACAAATAAAGGCCACGGAGAATGAAGTACCCTTAAACAGCTTTTGAATCAAAACCTACAACGTGAGCGTAACACATACACAATAACGTTTGAAATATGTATTAGACAGGTTTCTAGCAATTTAAGTTTTTTTTTTTTTATATAGGAGAGGGGGCAAACGAGCATGCGGCTCACCTGATAGTAAGTGAATACTGCTTGCCGCCCACGAACAATTGCAACACCAGGGGAACCAGGGGAATTGCAGTTGCGATGCCGGCCTTATAAAAAGGAGTAGGCTCTTTTCTTGAAGGTCGCTAAGTCGTATCGGTCCGGAAAAATAGCTGATGGTAATCGATTCCACAAGGAAGTTGTGCGAGGAAGAAAACATCTTCTAAATCGCACAGTGGTGGACCGCCAATCATCCAGATGGTGTGGATGATATCGGGAGTTCTGCCCCGATGTGCGTTCGTGAAATTTGGCGGCTGGGATTAATCCGAACAATTCCTCAGAGCACTCCCCGTGGTAAATGCGAAAGAAAATGCAAAGGGATGCAACATGCTACGTTAGGCACAAATTTAACCGCCATGTGGTGGCGATATTTGAGAATTGATGAACTAATTTCATCCCATCGGTATGGTACTAAGTAACTTAGGAAAATGGCCGGATGATTTTGAAGGTAAGACATAGAAGTCTATGGAACACATCAATTATTTTTAACTCTTGCTTCTATGAAAATATATATTTTTCTTTAGTGACACTATAAGAAAATATGAGAAAATAGGTTGTGGTAAAGAAAAGTTACAGCCAATATACGCTCCAGAGCTGGGCGCAGGCCTTCTGACATTTCTAAAACGTTGTCTTAGGCCGCACTGAAATAAAAAAAAAATGGATTTCTTATTTTTATATATAGTATAAGGGTGACAAACGACCACACGGTACACCAGAGAGTAAGCGGATGCCGTGGCCCATAGACATCAACATCCTCGAATAATAATCAAATTGCAGATGCGTTGTCACCCTTGAGGACTAAGATGGAATGCCAAAGAAATGCTGCAAATAGCTCCACATAAACATAAATGTTTCGTACATAAAAGTTTTTTATACAGAAAAAGATTGTAGATGTCTACTCGTATTAATGAAATTCATTAAGAGATGAATTTAAAGCTAAGTCTTGAAATTATATCGCATTATCATATTTCTCCAAATAATAAAATTGGTATGAATCAATTGTCCTTAATAATAATAATAATAATAATAATAATTTATTTCAGATAACCAAGTGATCCATAAAATTTGTTAGTAAATATGAAACTTATAACCTATGTTAGTACCTAAATCTAATTCTTAAATACAAGTGCCTTATTAACTAAACATAGGCGGTAATATTGCTTAAGGAGGAATGAGTCGTATCTTTCAGCAATTATTTTCATGATGGAGTTGGAGCTAGCCCGCACCCTGCCAAGCAACGAGGCTGTTTTCTTTCTTATAAGGGCGTAATAGTCATCTGTACGCGCCTTTGCAAACATGCCTGATGCACTGCAAAATCGGGGTAGCCCCAACAAGATCCTGAAGCCATTATTGTACTGGACACGTAAGGTGTCGACAGTCCGCTGTGAATAATTCGACCACAGGCTGCACGTGTAGAAAACTTGACAGTACGCTTTAAATAGCGTTATCTTTACTTGTTCACTACACCGCGCAAACCTACGAGCCAACATATTACATCGGACTGCCAACGCCCTACGTTCCCTTTCAATGTCAACATTGTCATTTAGGTCATCGGTAACAAAATGCCCTAGGTACTTAAATTTAGCAACACGTTTTAATTCAATGCCATTCAATTTAATTGCAGGCACATTTTCTGGGCTTTTACAGCCGACGGCCCTAAACACCATGAATTCGCTTTTATTACAATTGTATCGCAAGCCATGGTTTAACGCATACTTCTCACATATCTTAAGGAGTTCTCTGGTGGCCTTAACCGTGGGACTCAGCAACACCATATCATCTGCGTAGCTTATATTATTAAAACTTACATCGTCGATACGACATCCGACTATTTTGCTGCTGAGTTCAACGATTAGGTCATTTATGTACAGGTTGAAAAGTTTTGGTGACGTAATTCCTCCCTGTCTGACCCCACATTGCAATCTGTACCTTTCAGAGAACTTATCGGCCCATCTCACATTATTATACTGATTATTATACCAGTACTGAAAAATCTTCAAAAGCTCAGCTGGAATCTTTTTCTGGCGTAGTTTATCCCATAATAAGTCATAATTTACGAGATCAAAAGCTCTGGAGAGATCTAAAAAGCATGCATATACAGGTGTACGTCGCTTTGTGTAATATTCAACAGTGTGCTTTAGGGCTAAGATAGCATTCTCAGTAGACAATTCAGACCGAAACCCAAACTGTGCATCGTGCAACTCAATATAACTTTCCAGCTGTGTATCCAACAGGCTGTCAAGTATTTTAGCCATAATTGTTGCCAAAGATATAGGTCGATAATTACACTTATCTCCCACGTCACCTGTTTTGTTCTTAATTATAGGCACAACTATTGTCCGCATAAGGTCGTGAGGCAGATACGAATGACAGAGACATGAAGAGAAGAAAGTAGCGAGTAATCGAGGCAGGTGAGGTCCGGCATGCTGCAGGTGCTCGATGCTGAGAGAATCATGGCCGGGAGATTTCCCCCTAGTCATATTTTTAATGGCAGTTGCCACTTGTTCAGGTGTAAAACGAATGCAGTCATGACTGCCACGATAGCTCTCATCTCCGGGCACCGGCTGCGATGGACCTAGCAACGACTCTATTTTAAAATGCTCTGCAAACATATTAGCTATGCTAATAGGTTCGTTTACACCTCCAACGCACACAGGCAGGGTAGGCTTAATATCAAGTTTGTTGGTGGCTTTCCAGAATTTTTTGAAATTATTTGCTTTACGATGTGATGCTATGATATCGAGTTGAATTTGCTCTTGATGGTTTTGACACCATTTTAGTTTGCTCTTAAATATTTTACGTGTTATGCACATATCGTCATATATAGGCCCACTAGTTGGTTTGTTATGCCACAACCATAAGCGATATTTAAACCTAGCCATCGCATGTGCTTCCCTCACATGTCTGTTCCAACCTACAATACGACCACTATGCTTATAACTTCTATTATCATCATAACTCTGTATAGCGGCCTCAGATAAAATAGTAACAATATTGTTGTACATTTCATCAAGCATTAACCTATGATGAGTATTGTTACAGTGTGAATTATAACATATGCTAAGTTCCTCAGGTACCTTAAGCGATATTAATTTGCTATTACACATATCATAATATACTTCAATCCGATCACTGACCCTTTCGCCCCATATTACTTTGTTACATGATTTTGTCGCAACTTCTAATTTAGTTTTAATAGTGTCTAACCTGCACTCAACAACAAAGGGGCAATGATCAGACCAGAATACATCATAAAATATTCTTATGTTAGTTATAGTGTGCCAAGCAGCTTGTGTGACAATGCAATGGTCAAGCCATCGTCTACAGCCATGTGCATCACTGACAAATGTATAGTTATCAGATTCTACACCTAACTTTTCAATGTCTGCACAAATCCAATTTTGTTCAGAACAGAATTTTAAAAGTTCAAGTCCAAAAGACTCACCAGGATGAGCATTAAAATCACCAAGGACGTACACTGCCTCCACGTCACAACTTTCGACTATCGCGCTTACCTCACTAAGACAGTCAGTGAATTCTGTTAGGTTATCACTCACGTCTGTCGGCATATATACACAAAACACTAAAAAGTATCTGTCACCTAGGGATACTTTTATTGCTGCTAGCCGCACATTAGCACAGTTTATTACTGTGACTGACTCAAAAGTTCCTTTGCGCCACAAAATCGCCACACCACCATACGGTCGTCCTTTGAGTATGCCCTCTGATATATTCACAGCTGATTTTCCTGTGTATTCAAAATCTTGATGTATCTTGGCAAGGTATGGGATATCAAAGGGAAGCAACCACGTTTCCTGGAGAGCAACTATATCAACTTTTTGACACAGAAACTTAACTGCATCAATTGAGCGTTTCACAGATTTGCAATTAAAACAGGCTAATTTAGTTGTTTTATAAATTTCTTTATCCATTCTTATGTAATAGTTTGCTTCATTATGCTATTAACGCTATTTTTTAACTTAAAATTATCATTTGTAAAACGCCTAAAGGTTATGCCATCGGGCCAGAACTTATCGTCAAGAAAAACATCCAGCTTTGACTTGGACACATAGAGCTTGAAAGAATTATACTTCTTTTCAATTTTTCTATTAATTTTAAATAAAGATGTTTCCTCCTGTGTTTTATTTTTAATATATGCAATAATATCACTTTCCTTTGTGTCCTTTGACACATTGGAAATAAACAAAGGAATTTTGATTATTGCTGCCTTAAGTCTACTCTTTTAATTGTCGTCGTAAAATTGACTAAGAATTTGTATTGGTTTTATTGTGCAAACACGGGATGTTTAGTATTCAACGGTCTACGCCCTGAACAATTACTCTTTCGCTAGAATCTTCCCAAGGTCAGATGCTAAATCATCCGTGAGTCACGTGAAAGGTCCTTGTACAACATTTGAGTGTTAAATCACGTAAATTTGGATCGGTGGCCAACTTTTTCTTGAGTGTCTGTTATCATCATTACAGCCTTTCATAAGTCCACTGCTGAACATAGGCCTCCCCCAAGCAATGCCACAAAGCACGGTCCTGAGCCACCTGCATCCATCGACTTTCTGCATGTCTTACCAGGTCGTCACTCCATCTCGTGGGGGGTCGCCCTACACTTCGCCTACCGGTACGAGGCTGCCACTCAAGTACCTTTCTTCCCCATCGGTTGTCGGTTCTTCGAGCTATATGGCCGACCCACAGCCACTTCAGCTTACTAATCCGTTGGGCTATGTCGGTTACTCTGGTTCTACTGCGGATATAATCATTTCTAAGTTTATCACGCAGAGAAACCCCGAGCATAGCCCTCTCCATAGCTCGCTGAGCGACCTTGAGCTTCCTCATACGGCCAGCAGTGAAGGACCACGTTTCAAATCCGTAAGTCATCACTGGCAACACGCACTGGTTGTACAATTTCGTTTTAAGGTTTTGAGGTATGTCTGACGAAAAGATGTGTCGTAGTTTTCCGAGTTGAATCCGTCGATTGACCTCTCGGTCGAAGTTGGACTTACCTAGTCGGACTATTTGTCCCAGGTAAACATACTCGTCAACAACTTCGAGCTTAGTGCTCCCAACAACTACCGGCATAGATGTGACATGGACATTAAACATGATCTTTGTTTTGTCCATGTTCATCTTAAGACCTATTCGTTGGGAGACACTATTGAGGTCATTGAGCATAATGCTTAGGTTCTCCAGCGATTCTGCCATAAGGACTATATCGTCAGCAAATCGAAGGTGAGTGATGTACTCACGATTGATGTTAATACCGTATCCTTTCCAGTCCAGAAGCTTGAAAACGTCTTCCAATGCAGCGGTGAAGTTTCGGGGATATAACGTCACTCTGTCTTACACCTCTCTGCAATTGGATAGGTTTCGTACTCTGGTTCTGTACTCGGATAGCCATCGTAGCCCTACTGTACAAACACTTCAGCACTTCGATATACCGACAGTCAACTTGGCACCGCTGAAGGGACTGCAGCACCGCCGAAATTTCGACGGAATCAAAGGCTTTCTCATAGTCCACATACGCCAGACATAGTGGCAAATTGTACTCCTCGGACTTCTGTATAATTTGCCGAAGGGTATGTATGTGGTCTATGGTGCTAAAGCCTTTTCGGAAACCGGCTTGTTCGGGAGCCTGGAAGTCGTCAAGTTTTCGTAGGGAATTAAAAATAAAATAACTGACGACACAAATCAGAAACTGCACCGATGGTGGCAAGAATTCAGTCTACATGCAGCCGTACCCGTGATTTGATATTTTTTTGTTTTATTTTTGACTTTTGTATTCTGCAATATTTATATTCAATGCCGGATACGTTAAAAGTTACATTCTATGTTATACGTCTCACTCATCAATATTTGCCGTTGATGTTATACCGTATCCTTTCCAGTCCAGAAGCTTGAAACGTCCCCCCACTAGATGGAGTGACGACCTGGCTCAGAATCGTGTTTTGTGGCATTCCTTGGGGGAGGCCTATGTTCAGCAGTGGACTTGTGAAGGGCTGTAATGATGATGATATATATGTCATACCAGATTCGATGCGGTTACTATCTCTAGAAACCATCATCTTCCTAATCTTGTCTAATTTACTCGATAATTCGGTGAGTTGCTTTCAATAGACTTTAAGTCACTCCGAAAACTTGTGACATTTGCGTCCAGCTCCGTTTAGTGTTTGTTTTTATTACACAACTCGTCGTCTTTTTGAGAAACAAATTCTCTTGCATTATGTGAGTCAATCAATTATTTGTTGAATATTTTAACTATGTCATATTTTAGCTCTTCAAACTAAATTCGAGATCCATTACTAGCAGTTGTGGTACTCTTTTCAAACTCGGGTCCTTGCTTTACTTTTTCCCTAAAACTTTTGTTCGTAAAGAAAATTTCTATAAACTCTGTCATTATATCCATACCATATATCTATTTATTTAGTGTGAGTTAATTAATTAGAGAATATTACTGAACTTTGCATCATAAACTTACGACTTGATATTTATAATATTGACAAACTTTCTTTTAAACTCAGAATCGCAGGCAATATCTCTGACAGTTATAAAGAGCAAAGCACGAAAGGATGAGTTTAGGCGTTAAATATGTTTAATATTAGTATAATATAAAATGTTTGTAGAAAGTTTGGCGAAGAGATATAAAATAATTTAAAATATTTTTTTCGCTCCACAAGTTAGTATACCGCTGCCCCATTAAAAGTCCTCTGCTGAACCTAGGTCTTGCCCATATATTTTATATTTGCCATAGTTATCACACTTGCCAGGCTAGTTGACAACCATAGTTTTTCTTATTTGTTTTACAAGGACGCTGCTGTCTATCTCCTAGTTTGTTTCCCTCTATCGTCTCTTGCGATATCTATGTTGTAAGGAGATGATGGAGTAGTGGATATTCTTACACTGCCACTATACGGTCACGTACAAACGTGATCACTCTCATATACATAGGTGTATTAATGCTAGAGTTAGGATAAACATGGTACCGTGTTCGAAAGTTCAAAAATAAGAGTGCCTCGGAAAGCACGAAAAGCCGTTGGTCCTGCGCCTGATCTCTCTCCGTTCGAGTCAGATTACCGTCCTATTGCACTACGTGAGTGAAGGAATAGAGAGTGCACCTATGCTTGCGCATACATTTGGCCACTATAATCCTGTGCCGCGCACATGGCTACACTCTGTTGAGACTGGTCGCCGTAACCAAAATTCGGTCTGGAGGACATTCCTTATCACATAAAATACCACTTAATGAATTTATTATTATATATTTTTCATCATAATAAGAAAATAACAAATATAGATGAGATAAGATAGAAGATATGCACCATTTATTGGTGGAATATGTTCCCATCGAGACTAAAATAAGTAATTTTTGATACCATCATTTTATTGGAATGTTGCATATTTTATATGAATTATCATCTGTTTACTTCACACGTCTTCTGAGCTGGTTGTAAACATGTTTTAGGTTAAGTTTTTATTATTATCAACTTTAATGATTATTTGCACTGGAATTTATCAAAATTTTAGCTTTGAAACACGCTTTATCCTCGTCTAAGGTCCAAGGTTCCTTCGTCCAAAGATATCCTCGAACCACTCACCCGTACTGAATTTCACCTTGTGCTACTGTACTGTTATGGACTTAAACAATGATGTAATGATAATATTAATTTTCAAAGTTTATTAGTGGTTTTCCTTTCTTTTTAAACCTTCAAGATTGTTAATATTTATAAGTAGGTCTACCTAAAAAGCTGTAAAACAAAATTTACAGCTAATAAAGATTCCATTCCGTGAGTGTTGCAAAAGGCGACAGAGAGAAACTGAAATACGAAATTGGCAGCATCATCTTCTCAACACCAACTCAATTAAGAAACTGTATGATAGGTTTCAATGAATAAAGAATGACTGTAGACTTTAAAAACATTATCATGATGATGATGAAGAAGAAATCATTGTCTATAAAAGTAAGTTCTTTAAATAAAATGTGGACGAATATCGTATCAATAAAATATTGCCATTAGTTTATGCCGTTCCTTGTAACAACAAACGTATCTTTAAGTCCAACCGTGTGTCACTTCGGTACCTAGTTACGGCTGAGCTATTAGCGGAATGGGGCTGCCATTTATTTAAACAGATACGCGACGGTCGCCTCCGAGATTGTGGGGTACACATTATTTGTAATAAATCTCGAAAATTATGTATCAGAATGGAAAAACTCTCTGATTTATTTTCTTTTTGTTTGCTCCAAGCGAGGGATTATCCCGTATTGTTTTCAAACAATCGCTATTTAATTTAGGTTTCGATTTATAACACGATAATTATATTCGTTTTTCATTCGCCATTTTATTAAGTGCCGTAAAGTATCGTAATATTTCTTTATCTTCTTTATCAGCCTGCAAAGTCCAAAGCTGGACACGGGTCACGGGTGTCCCACACTAGGGAGGGTTTGCCTTAATCATTACCATTCATTTCTTAAATTTACTTGCGACAAATGCATAATAATTTAAATATTTTACAAGCAGTTCTTGTATTAAACATAATATGTAACTGGTTTCTCAGTACCCGAACTAACGGTTTGGATGAAATTTTGTATTTAGATAACGTTTTACTTTCTAAATTAATCTAAATAGGTACCTATCATCTCACATAATGTTTTTTCTAACGCCGAGCAAAACTAGCTCGCCCAGATTTTATTCGTCAATATTAACTAACGCCTTAAATTAATTTCGCTCTGAAATTTTACAAAATGATAGATTTGAAACACGCTTTATTCTCGTCAGGACATACGACCAAGGTTCCTTCTTGCAAAGATATCTTCAAACTACTTTCATTGAATTTCACCTTGTGCTGCAGTAACTTTACTGATTATGCGTCTTGAACAATGATGTAACAAAGAAAAGATGTCAAAAAAAATAATTTTGCTAGTGTTT